TTTCTGATGTATTTAGAAGATGGGGTTATCTCGAGTGAGCAGGCGGAAATTTTTGGATTGGTAGATTGAGTGACACCGAAGTGCGCTGAGTCAAAGCTTGTTGCAGCAAGGTAGGCGCTGAGCCAGGCAAACAGCATGTCTGGACAAACTAACGTGGCAATGGAGTGCGTGTGAGACGCTGCGCATGGCGCCTCTGAGATCGTTTTGTTTGCGGAGTCAACGGCGAACCAAAGGGCGTCTCCGCTGCGGGACTCCGCTGCGATCTGAGAGGCATCGCAGCAGGAAGCTTTCAATCCACCAGCCCACCAGCTATCACTTGCTTCGGCCACATCAAATAATGATAGATTTGAGACTCTACTGCTGCAAGTCAGCATTTGTGTTGCTGCAGTGCTCGGGACTCAGGTAGCTTGCAACACACCGTTGATGGCCGCCGGTGTCGATTCCTTGGGTGCAACAGAGTTGCAGCGGGCACTGAGCAGAGAGTTTAGCGCCGTACTCTCGGCCACTCTTCTCTTTGATCATCCTTCGATCGCAGGGATAGCTCACTATGTTGGCCAGGAAATCCAGGCGGCATCGCTGCATATGGGCGAAGCTGCTTGTTTCAAGATGAAGATGTGTCAAGCGCGAACAATGGTGGCTATGTGCGTCGCAAAGGTACTCGGGACCTAGGTATCCAGCGAAGTGCCGTTGATGGCCGCCGGTGTCGATTCCCTGGGTGTAATAGAGCTGCAACGGGTATTGAGTGGCGTGTTTAGCGCTGATCTCTCGGCCGCCCTCGTGTTTGACCACCCTTCCATCGAAAGAATCGCCTAAAGTTTAGCTGCTTCAAGCTCAATCACTGTCTAAGCGCCGACCAGGGCTACATTGCATCAGATGCCTAACGCAGGTCTGTTGGAGAACCGCTGCTCACTTGCAAGGCACGAGAACCTGATTCTTGGACGGAGGATCTACCAAGCAACATGTTCGATTCAACTCGGTGCTGCTATTGCGAATCCGGGCTCGATGCGAGAGCTACTGACATGAATCCTGGCGACGCCTTCTGATGTTCCCTTGCCAAGATGGGCCATAGCTTCTCGCGACTCACCGGCAAGCTATGGATCATTTCTTCTGGGCGATCTTTCTCTGGAATGAGAAGTATTTGAGATTTCCCCCAGTCAAGCACGAAATTAGGACCCGCAATTTGTTGTGGTTCTTCAAGGGGCAGACTCGGTACTAAGACTGCAAAAGGTAACATCGCGCAGTCAAAAAAAAGAACAAGCTGTTGGGGTGTTTGTGGGAATCCTTGGGTAACCTGTAGAACATGCGGCTGGTGGTGCCTGTGTAGCACAAGCTGCATAGATCTCTTTCGCCAGCGGCTAAACGTCATTCATACTTGGGCTGACGGGCCCTTGTGTTTCCCTTGATACGGCGTGTTCTTCACAACTCGTTGCTCTTCACCTCGCGTCTTGCTCTTTGACGCATCGTGAATGCCCGGATGCCATAGCTTCTGGTGTTGGACTGCTTGGACCTAGTTTCACCCGCGCCTTTGCTGCTTAGGGCATGCTTTCTGAGCGGGGTCGATGCCACTCGTTTGATGCCAGAGGAGACGGGTACTGTCGTGGAGAGGGGTCTGTTTCCATCTGGTTGACTGTGGATAACAATGTTTTTGGTCCCTGCGAAGTCGGTGGGACACGGGTCTAAAGCGATGGACCGAGCGCGAGTTTGACTGCTCCTAACGGATCTGCGCAGCGGCGGCTTATTGTCGCTGTTGAACACTCACTTCGCACACAAAACAATCGTATCTCTACCGCCCTTGAGGCACACGGCACGGGAACTGCGCTTGGGGACCCCGTCGAAGTAAGCGCAGCAATTATCGCCCTATGCAAGTTAGAATTGAAGTTTCGTGCACCTCACTCAAAGCAAACATGGGACATCTCGAAGCCGTGGCAGGCGGCGCTGGGGCAGTGGCCCTGTCTTCATTGTCCCTGTAGTTTCGCAGCATCGCTGCCAACACTCAGGTGCGGAATCTGAATCCGCACCTCATCTCCCTCGTCCAAAATGCTCTGTACCTCGTCCCGCTTTGTGATTCGACACCACTATCTTCAGCGCCTCTTGGTTGACTCAGCTCTTTCGGTGCCACAGGGACCATCGCGCACGGAGCTTTTGTTTCTTGGGCGCGTCCGGAATTACCCCCGAAGCAATAGCAAGATCCTTCTTTGTATCGTGTGCAATGACGAGTTGACTTGCGCGACTCTTGAAATCTCATCGTTAACCTAGCCAGGGGCTAGTCCAGTATTCATCTTTCGTGTCATCCTTACCGACGCCCGACATGAGCACATTAAACAATGTATGCAGTTGGAAACGAAGCCTTATCAAACACACATAACGTCTGTCCTCTGAATTCATCGAGTTCGTTGAGTTCACCGAGTGCCACCACCCTCTAGTCTCGAAGGCCCTTTGCCAATGCCGAAGACGTACAATGCTAAATCGTTTGAAGTTGCTGTAGCGCGTCAGCATGCTATCCGTCGTCCGCCATCAATCCCTTTGGTGCTTGTCTGCGAACTCAAATCATGACAAAGGGAGCATTTGTAGCGAACACATACCTCAGGAATACTGAAAATGGTTTTGAACTAATAAATCACTTCGAAGAGCATGTGTTTGGAGCCCTTCTCAGCACTTGGGCTTTGAGAAGTTCATTACTCACTCTGGGCGGATTGCGGCCCATTTGGGGAGGCAGTCATGAAAGGTATCGAACTCTAGACTTGTAATTAAATGCTTAGGTTTCTGTCCATGCCGGGCGTTGGGGAGACCATTTACCAGGAAAATAGCCCTCTTCAACATCATGATTCCAGAGTGTTCGCTCTCGGTGTCTTGAGATGGCAATTCTGACATACTTTTCGGGTAGCATCACTGCCATTAGAGCAATATTCTGATGAGCTAGACAACAATCATTCTTCTACGCAATGGGGCTATTTCCCGCCCCCCTAGGGGTGCGAGCAGAGCAGCATACGAAGTAGGTTTCCAAAACTACTTACGGTAGTACAACAATAAACACACCGCGAAGACTACTTGGCGATAGCAACATGATTGTGTGATCCGTGGTAAGTCGATCCATGGGTACATAAGTTGACTCAAATATACCGCTCATGTCTGCTGGTTTGGACTCGATCGCTGCAACGGAGCTAACATCAAATCTTTCCGCCGAGTTCGGAAAGGAGATGTCACCGACGATGTTCTTCGACCACCCGACGATTGCTTCCATCGCCCAGATTTTTTCAGCGCACGAAGACGGGTCTCAGGTTGCGTAGACTCTTGGTGCATGAGAGTGCCAATCAAGACTAAATGTGCCATAAGCGTTTAGCTTTTCTGGATTTTAACAGCAGATAGCTGTGGTGATTACATCACATAGCTTCTCTCTGGCGGGGTCAACGAGATTAAACTCTGGTCTAAAAGAGTTGACGATGCGTGCTCTCGCAACAAACTCGCTTGTTCCTACTGCAAGATGGAAACTTGCATCAGGATTATCATCCGCCGCCTACGGTTCTTTTGTGAGTGTTGCTCAGCAGAATCTTGATAGAGTCGTCTTTTAGATTTCTATTCCCGAGGCGTAGTCATTGGATCCCCAGCAGAGTATGCTCCTCGACGTAGGATACACAACATTAAATCAAAAGTTTTTGACAGGATGTGCCCGTCCCGTGCGAGACGCCCTGATGCATGAAAATATTGGAGTCTTTGTTGGCGTGGAGGCGAGCGGGTTTCACAGCCACCAGGTGGGAAAGACTTCGCTGACTGGCGGCTCGCTGTCCGTAACATCAGGACGACTGTCATACACGCTTGGGCTCGTTGGCCCCTGCAATTCTATTGATACTGCATGCGCATCTGCTCTGGCAGCTCTACATCTCTGTGCTGGCTCCGTCCGGGACAATTACGCAGACGGCATTGGGATAGGAACCAAGATCCTCAGTTGGGCAGCGAATCTTGCAATGTCGGAAGCTATGATGACATCGCCGTTGGGTTGATGCCACACGTTTGACCACTGAGCGGACGGATATTGCCGCGCTGAAGGGTGCGGGGCCCTCCTAATATCAATCGTCGCGGCAGGCGATACAATTTTCATGGTCCGTGGGTCTGCAGTTTAGCACAACGGTGCTAGCGCAAGCTTGACAGCACCAAATGGATAGTCCTAGAAATGACTGGTGGAAGGTGTGTAGGACAATGGTGTCTCCGGATAGGCTCATCAAGCGCATGGCACTGGGACAGCCCTTGGAGATCCCATTGAAGTCTGTGTCTACAGCTGGTGCACTTAGAAAACTGAATTCTTTCAGGTTGGCGCTGTTTTTGGAGTGCTGTGTAAGTCAGAGTGAGGGACGACGCGAACAATACGATGCTCGTCTTTGAAGTCAAACATGGGTCATTCCGAAGCGTCTTCAGCTGCGGTCGGTTTGGTGTTTCTCGTGATCTCCATGCGCGAGGTAGCGGCCAATGCCGAACTAAGAAGGTTTCGCTAACGATTCCTCCTTTTCAGTCACCTTCTCAAAACGTTGATATTAAACTAGGTTGAATTTTTACTTGTCCTCGATTCTCGTGGGACCGTCACTTCAGCTGCCTGCTTAGCTGGTCGGGTGAGAGCACAAGGGTCCAGAGAAACACTCGCGCTTGAGCGCTTTTGGGTTCAGCGGCACCATTGCACACGGGCTTTATACTGCCAGGATCCTCGCTGAAATAAGAGAATCCCCATTTTGGCACTCACTGGCATGCTTGTTTCGCCAGGCACCCATACGTATTAATATGGACAAATCTCCGGATCAAACTTAGCACGCACAACCGCAGGCTTTAGTGCTTGAAATAATGAAAAAATTATTTGGAGAAGAGGCCTAGCTTGATGATTCATTCGCACATCTACCCAGGGCTCAACTGGACGACAGTCGCTCTTTTACCTCCATGGGGTTCAAATCGAAACTGATTCCAAGTCTGGTAGCAGAAATCAATAGGGCTTACCGAGTCCAGATGCCAGTTACGTAGCTTTACGACACACCGAATATTAGTACACTTGTTGCCTATTTGTCATCCATCACTGGCAGTAGCTAGGCGGAATCCCTCCCCAAATTGCGGCGTATCCTAAATGATAGCCTTCCAAATGTTCAAGACGAAATC